TAGGAACCCAGCCTAATATAATTCAATATACCAGACATTGCTGGCTTTTCTCGGCATCCCTTGGTCCCCAGCCAGCCTGACCCCCCCCCAGCCAGCGCCACCTTGTTGTCCAGGGCGGTGATCTCCTGCTGGTTGGCGGTGGAGAGCAGGAAACTGCTCATCTGCCCTTTCAGGGGGTCTTCCACCTCCACGTCAATGTCGTAGCAGGCCGTCTTCTTCTGGTCGTTGGGGTCCACGCGGAGGGAGGGAGGGAGGGAGGGAGGGAGCCCAAAGCATCAGCCCCTGTCCTGGGGAGCCCCCCTCCCTCCCTCCCTCCAGAACCCCCTGGCAGAGCAGGGGGCTCTTCGGTCCCCTCCACAGCCTCCCCTCCTGTCTTGCTCACCTGGGGAGAGGGGGTGGGGGGAAACATCACAGGGGGGGACAAAAGGGGTGCCCGCTTTCTTTTGGGGGGGTGGCGTTCAGAGCGGGGCTGCCCTCGCCTAGCAAAGGCACTGACCTGATGATGTGGTTGATCACGATGGGATCCGGGGGCAGCAGCAAGTTGGTCAGCCGCTGCGGGATCTCGGAGAACTTGAGCCGGGAGCAGTCAAAGATCTGGAACGGCAAACAGGCAAGAACATTGGCGGCGGCGTTCACCCCAAGAAGGGGGGGGAGGGGGCATCGGTTCTAGCCCCCCAGAAGGCCCACCCTCGCTCAGCACCAGCTGCAGGGCCCTCACAGGCCATCGTCGGTGGGGAAGTCAGGTGGGCCAAGCGGGCAGGGCCAGAAACCCCTAGGGCGGGAGGGGAGAGACCGGGCCCAGGAGGGCGTCTCCGCTTCTCACCCTCCACATTCCTCTGAGCTTCCAGGGTAGCCTTGCCAGGGTTACTCCCTCCTCTGCCACCTCTGACGGGAAGCGCCCCTGGGGTTGCCCAGAGTGCCTGGCTCCAGGGCTATTGTGGCCTGGTCCGTGGGGAGGGGGGGGGGTTATGCCACCATCCCCAAATCGTGCCCCCCCTTCCTGCTGACCTGCTGGAAGTACTTGTCGCAGTTGATGTACTCCTTGTCGTGGGAGTCCTGCAGCTTGTTGGTCTTGATGTACTGCCAGAGGGCCTGGATGATAGCCGAGCGGGTCTGGGTGTGGATGCCCAGCAGGCGGGCCAGGCGAGGGTCCAGCTTGAACTGGGGAGGCTGCGGACAGAGAGCCGACCCCAAGGGTCCCCTTGGGCAACTGAGGGTCTCCTTGAACTCCAGGAGGCCGGAGGGCTTTGGGGCAACGGGCCCCCCTCCGGCCGGCCCATCCAGCAGGGCCAGCCGCTCTCGCCGGTCTTCCCAACGGGGACCCCGGGACCCCTCAGCCCCAACGGCCCGTCGGCACTCGCTCCCGGCCTTCCTCGCGGTGGCTTTCCTGGATCTGCTCAGGGCTTCCTCGTACTTGTTGCGACAAATAAAATCGGGTGTTATTACAAAGCAAGTCCTTTGGCATTCTGGTGCGGCTGCAAAGGGCCCTCCGGAAGAGCAGCCCACGGGGACCCCCCCTCCCACTGCAGGCAGCAAGGATTAATATTGGCTGCGGATTATACTCAGGACCGCGAGGGGGACGGCATATAAATGGGATACATATATAAACAAATGCTTTTTTCAGAGGTTGTAGCCGCCTCTGTGTCCGTTGTAATTCTGGACAGCGTGGACAGTTACAACCACTCGTTAAAAGACATCAAGAGTTAACGCTAGCTGCACACACACACACACACACACACACCACGAACAAACTCACGAAAAGGCCAGGCTCAGCCCGCCTCCCTTCCCAGGCCTGGGGGGGGGTCAGGACTCCCCAGAGTAACAGTGCGGGGGTCTCCCTCGTCTTGGGGAGAGTCTGCCCCAGAGGGCACGGCTGCCAGAGGGATCGCCTGCTTCCTGGGCCTGGGAGGGGGCACTGCTGGTTCGGGAGCAACCAGGACCCCCCCCCCCGCTGTGACTACTGGTGGAAACCGCCAGAGGAACCAACCTCAGCGGGAAGGAGCTTCCCAGGGGGCAACCTTGAATTGTCTCCAGAAGCCCAGCTGCTCATAGAGCACAGGCGTTGTATTATGCAACAGGGGCACTGCCCATCCCGAACCCCCCCCCATGTATTCTGCAGCTGCCAAGGGAGCCCCTAGGCGGCCCCACCCACGGCAGTGCACTGCAAGCCTCCCAAAGGGCACAACCGGCAGACAAGGCTCCCTTGGGCGAAAGGTCCTCGTGGCTACGGCTGCCCAGGCTCTCCAGACAAGGGCTTTGAATTCAGGGGGAGGGTCTCACTTCACCCACTTCCCTGCTGGGGGCTGGGCACCAAGAAAGACCCTCAACAGGCTGTGGCAGAGAGCGCTTACCAAGAGCAGCTTTATTGGGGGAGGAGAACGGAGGGGCCCACCCAGAGAAGGACTCTGCCCCTCCCTTCCCTCTCACAGCAGGGGGGGGTCTTCCACGAACGCATCCAGGGCTCCCAGGCCTGAATCCAGACCGAGGGACGGATTCTGGGGCTCTCTGAATCGGCAGTAGGCGCCCCTCCCCACAGCCTTCCCTAAAAAGGTTGGGTATCTTGCACTGCCCACTCCCGGAGCCCACCCACCTCTGCCAAACGGGGTCCGGAGACACTCCTCCCGCCAGGCACCACCCAGCTCAGTTCCCCGGCTGCTCTCCGGTGACACAGGATTAGAGGCAGGAATCCTGCAGAGAGCAGCTGCCGCTTCTGGAACACGCCCGGCCCTTCCTCTCCCCCGGGCGCCCGGGGAAGGCTTGGCTTTTGGGAGAGGGAGGGGGCACCACAGGAGAGAGCAGAGCTGCATGGAGCTTGGCTGGAGTCTGGGTCACCACAAAGTTCCCCATATTTCCCACCCCCAAAAAACTCAGCACCCCCAACGCCCAGCCCCAGAGCCCCCTGCTCCCGAAGCCCCCTCCCCACCTGGTAATCCAGCATGAGCAGCAGGGTGCAGCGCACGCTGACGTCTCCCGGCCTCTTCACCTGGAAGCCGTCCGTCTCCTGGGTGGTGGGAGTCCGGTGCCACTGCCGGAAGAGCCAGAGGGCAGTTCTTAGAGCAGAATTCACACCCACCCCCCCATCCTCCTCATGCAGCACTCAGGTTGATCTGCCCTCCGTAAGCCTCCCCCACCTCCTGCCCCCCCCACCTTTAAACAAGATAAATGACTCCTCCTCCACCCCTCACCTCACCCACCAATACTGAATCGCACAGGGCCCCCCAAAGCCCCAGCACCCCCCACCCACTCATGCAGGGAGGCATCCGGAGGGCCCCTTCTCTGCCGCCTGGGGTGCCTCCCCCCGTGTCCGTGATGACCCTGGCCCACCACTTCTCCTGCTTTCGGCTGGGCTTTTGCCCCTGGCAGAGGGTCCTTATGAGGAGGGGCCCATCCCTCCGTCCTCCCCTTGGTCGTCCCTTCTGCCACAGCAGCACCAACCGAAGCTTTTTGGGGGGGGGGTTACGAAGGAAGGCTGTTTGGGCATAAAATAAGAGGGGGTCGCCTTACATTTAGGCGTGACCCGTCAAAAGCGCGGACGACAAAAGCGCGATCGACAAAATCGTGCCTTTGACGTCATCACAGCGCGACGAAAAAGATTGAAAAATTCAAATAAAAATTAATAAAAATTAAATTAAAGCAAGCCGATTCACATAAAGGTAAGGGTTAGGGTTAGGGTTAGGTTAAGGGTTAGGTTTGGGGGGCTTAGGGTAAGGTTTTCCCTTTATTTTTACATTTTTCGATCTTTTTCGTCGCGCTGTGATGACGTCACAGCGCGCTTTTGTCGAGCGCGATTTTGTCCTACGCGCTTTTGTGGTGGAACCACATTTAGGAAGATGGCAGGGGGGGGGGGAGCTTGCCTGCAACAGAGGGTCTGAGAAAGGCAGGGGGAGTCCCGGGGGGGAGGGGCACCGGAGGCAGATCCAGAGCAGGCCAGGCGTCACTTCGGGGTGTCTCAGGGAAGGGGGGGGAACAGACCCCCAAAGGGATGAAGTAATGAAAGGGCAGACTTCTCTCCCCCACAGTCGGCCTTCACTGAATTCCCCCCTCAGCCCAAGAAACACACAGAGGGCCGAGGAAGAAGCCCCCCCCTGGTTTTTTTTGCTTGGGGGGGGGGGAGAGGCAAGCCGGTTACCTCCACCAGGTGATTGTCTGGTCCGTAGAGGTCCTTGTCCAGCTCAATGACCAAACTCTTGAAGAAGGAGGAGAACTTCCGCTTCTGTTTGCTCAGCTGGGGGGAGGGAGGGAGGGGGGGGAAGAGTCCCGTCAGCAAGCGAGGGACCCTTCACGGCTGCACCTGCCACCTGTGGGGGCCCCGCCCTCTGTCACCCATCACCCATCACCCCCACCAGCTCTGTCTTACGTCGTCCAGCAGCTTCCCCTCCACCCGCAGCTCCCAGGAGGCGATGCTGCCGTCCGAGTCCTCGGCGTCTGACTTGGCCGGGTTGAAGGTGTTGGAGATGTAGAGGCGCAGCTTCCGCTTTTGCTGTGGGCCGAGAGAGACCCCCCAGTCAGGGCCCACCGGGAGCCCCCCTCCCCCCGAGGGTCACTTGCATCCGGACTGCCTCGGGGCCCCGGGGCCCAGTCTCCCCCGACGGAAGGCTGGAGCGAGGGACGCCGGAGTGACCCCCCCCCCCACTAACTCTGGCAGTGAGCGGCCAGAAGAGTTGGGAGCCATGGGGGGCTTCTAGAAAGAGGGGGGAGTGTGGGGGCTGCTGCCCATCCCTCCGCCCGCTCCCACCTTCATGGGCCTCTTCAGGGCCTCCTGGATGTCCACCCGCTTCCGCATGATGGTCTGGTCCAGCTTCCGCTCGAAGGCCAACAGGTCCATGTAGGCCTGAGACTCCGGCACCAGCTCTCGGATCTGGGGGGAGGGGGGGCACAGGGTGGCTGCCACACTGGAGGGGAGGGGAAGGACAACTCCCCCCCCTCGTTTGGAGAAGTTCCCATCTCAAATTCCGCCCCCCCCCCCGAAGGAGGTTTGCTTCTACCGTGGCAAAGGGGGGACCCACAGCCGACAGAGCAGCGGGAAGCGTTTGGGGCCATCAGCTCTGCGTTCCCCACCCAGAGGGGCCCAGGCTTCCATCTCCTGACCTCCCCAGATCCCATTAGCAGCAGCGCAAGGGCCCCCCCCCAGCAGCCGCAGGTCTCCTGCCCCCCCCCAGGGGTGGCGCTTTTGCACAGGCCCTCCCCAACCCCAAAGCTGCCTCCGTGCCCAGCAGGGCCCTCCCTCTGCCGGAAGGAAAGCGGTGGCCTTGGGGGGGGGGACCATCCCCAGGACCACCCACCCTCCTTTCCCCCCCCCCCCAAGGAAGGCTGCTACGCTGGTGGGAAGCCTGCATTATCCCAGCTACGCCCAGGTGGGTGGGGAGGCAAGAGGAACATGGCAGCCTCAGCCCAGCTCCTCCTCCTCCTCCTGCCCCCCAAACCCCTCTTCCGTCTAGCACTGATAGTGTTACCTAGTTTGGTCATGAAATGTTTGCAAGGAAACAACCCAAGATCAGGTGACACGGAGTTACCTACGGTCCTCCCCCTCCCTCCCCCCTCCCCTCCACCCTTCTGGGGACACCCCCCTCCCCACAAATCAGGGGGAAGCAATCCGGAAGGCGGCACTCACCCTTTGAGGGAGGATCTTGTCTGCCATCTTCCTCCTCTTGGCACTGCGTGAGGAAACAGAGACAGGTGGCCATGGTGCCTGGGGGCCGGAGGGAGGAGCCCCCTCTGCCCGGCGGCTGAGCCTGGCCTCAGGAGGAGGCCTCCCTTGGGCTTGGTCCCAGGAGGAGGGTCTCGGGGGTCTCCCCTTCTCATACCACCCCGCAGAGGCTTTCGCTCAGACTCCCGCAGGTGGGGCAAGGACACGCTCCCGGTGCGCCCACCTGGCTGCCCCCCAGGTAAACTATGCCCAGCAGGTGGATGCCGGCTGGCACACGCCCAGTGACCGGTCGCAGAGGGTGAGGACCACACGCCCCACCTCCCACTTCGGCCACCTGAATGGCTTTCAGGGATTTGAGTGGCAGAGCAGTTGGCCGCTTCCTTCCTCTCCTGGGCTCCGGGCGGCCCACCTCAAGCCGTGTGCCAGACAACGGAGATGGAGCCCCCGGCCTCCCCCGAGGCGTGCAAGGCTGCCCTGCCCTTCAGCATCCTCCCTGCCCCAGGGAAGCCGCTTGGGAAGAGGGAGGGCCCCTGCGCGGCCCCCATCTCCTCCCCCCCCCCGTCCATGCCAGGGCAACTCCTTCCTGGCTGGCTCTGGGCAAAGGCAGCTTGGCCTGGAGGAGACGGCCGAAGGGTGGGCAGGGGGCTGGATCCACCTTGGGCCCGTCAACCCTGCGGCCCCCCCGCTCACCTCCGGGAGCGGTTCTGTGGGGCAGCTCCCTGGGCCTGGGTCTGCTGCTGCTGCGACTGCTGTGGCTGCTGTTGCTGCGTCTGCGTCTGTGCCTGCGGTGGCGGCTGCGGCTGGGGGGCCGCCCTCTTGCGCGTGGGCTCCATCACCGCCTGCGGCATCCCGGGCCGCACCGAGGGGCTTCCGACGTACGGTGGCCCCGGGGGACCCATAGGGGCCCCCTGGTGGGGCATGCGAGCACCGGAGGGCATCCCAGGACGCTGGAAGGGAGAAGCAGAGGGCCGTGGGGCACAGGGGCAGGGGGAGTGGCACGCGTGGGCAGGGGGCTAGTGAAACAGGTCCCACAGCCCCACTGGCTGTCCTGACGCGCTGCCCGGCCAGCCTCTTGACGTGACGCCCTCAGCTACCGCTGCACGTGTCCAGCCCAGCCGGCCAGGGGCCAGAGGGGAGCCGCGCAGCTGAGGACGATGCCTTGGACCCGGCCAAGAGCTCACCCGGACGCTCTTCCCCAGGGAGGCCCACGTCTCTCACACAGGCCACACACAACCGCTCAGAAGCCCCCCCCCCTCCGGTGCCACGGGGCAGAGGGCTCCGGCCGGCTTCAGCAGGGAGAAGGAAGCTACCGAGGGCCACAAAGTCAGTCCTTGGCCGGAGCCTGGGATCCCCTGAAGGGCAGTGCGGGTGGGGAGGGGGGTCACGAAGGGCTCTGCATGTTCTGGGGAGAAGCGGTGGGAGGTGGGGGCTCCTGGGCACCAGACCTGGGTGGCGGTTTCGACCTCCTTCTTTTGTGTCTCCCCCCACCCGCACCCTTGGCAGAGGGCTGGCCCAGCTCCAAGGAGGGGACGGTGAGGAGCCTCCCCCACCACCACCCCCCCGGGATGAAATTAATTGGGCCGGGAGGGGGGGGAAATTAGCTTCTGTCAGGTGGGGGAGGGGGGATTCATTAAAGATGCATTGTGGGAAATCTGAATGGAAATTAATTGGGGGGGGGGTGGCAGCATGAGCTAATTGAAAAGGAAGGGAAGGTGGAGGGTCTCCCAAGCGGAGCTCCCATCTCCCCATCTCCCCTGTGTGGCTCGGCAGGCAGGAAACGGGTCCCCATCAGGCAGAGCTGGGAGGGCCGAACCTGCACACCTTCAAGGGATGTGGCCATTCCTGCCACTAAGAGGAGCTGGCAAGGGGGGGGGGGGGCTGACCTTCCTTCCTCGCTGGGAGCCCCCTTCCCATGGGGGGGGCTTCGACAGAGCCGGTTGGAAGGGCAGCCTGGCCTGGTCTCCCCCGCAGCCAGAGGGGCCCCTATGGGAGATTTAGCCCACTTCCTGGTATATTAAGTGTAAGGAGGGAATTTGCATGTGGCAGAGGGAAGGAAGAGCGGGAGGGAGGGAAGAAGNTATATTTATATATATATATTTATGCGCCTCCTTTTCGGCTCCACTCCAAGCTGCTCCTAGAAGGGCTCCAGCCAGGCCCTGCAAGGTTAAAGGGCTCCCCCTGGTTTGGTTCAAGGCCTCCGGAGGTCTCCCCATCTGGCCACCATCTAACGCAGGGCTCCACAACCTCTGGGCCGGAGCCCACTACTGGGGTGCGAGCAAATGCTGACACACACAGCCCCTCGTGCGAGTGGCATGGGCATTCGTAACCCTACTCGCACAAACGACGGGTGCTCACACACCCCTCCTGCCTCTCCCACAACCCCCTCCCCTCTTTCCCCCTCCCCCCTCCGCTCTGGGCCGCTGGGGGTGCTAAGAGATGCAGCTCTGCAGCCCCTCCTGGCCCCCAAAGGGCTTCGGGGACGGCACCACCGGGCCCCACAGAGGCCGCTGCCAGCCGGGCCCCCCAGCCGGGGCTACAGCGAGGGAAGGAGAGGGCTGGAGCGGGGTGGGCAAGGAGAACCCCTCTGCTCCCTGCCCCATGGCAAACCCCACTCCAGGCACCAGGCCTACGCATCCCGCTTCCATTGAGTGGCTCCCTCTGATCAGAACTGCCCTTTCCTGCCCAGAGGAGGCCCCACTCGCCATGGGCAGCGGGCATGAGCCTCTGCAAGCCCTTCAGGACTTCCGCCAGCCTTTGGCACTGACCGGCCGCTGGACTGGGGGGCAGGACAAGATTAATGCCCCCTCTGGAGGGCGCATCTATTTGCCCCCAATGCCCTTTGGCGGCTGCAATGGAACCCGGGGCTCCCCGGTTGGAACAGAGGGGACCTGGGCACCTGGCAGAAAGGGAAGGTTTCGGCAGTGCCATATTGCCTCACTCAGCCAAAGCAGCCACCCTGAGAAGGACTCCCCAGGGGGGGGGGCACTTCTCCCTTGAGACTCCCCAGGCCAATTGCCTGCACTGCCCGCTGTATTGCCTCCCCTCCGCTCCAAGTGCCGCCCGGCTGGCCCCTGGTGACCCCCGGCATGGTGGAGGGGAACGGTGGGGTGGGAAACCTCGGCCCTCCTCCCCCCCATCAGGGGTCAAGAGGGTTGGGGGAAGAACCTTCTGGGGAGTCCCCCCCCCCGCGCAGGCCACGCACCTGCTCCCCGAGCACATGCTGGAGGGAGGGGCGGTGACCCTCCCCCTCCCACCGGGTCGCGCGCCCCTCCCGCCCCGAGCCAGGCCGCTTCCCGACGCCGCGCCGCCCGAGTCCCTAACTTTCCCTACTCACCACCCCATGGACTAGAAACTCGAAAAGTTTGCTTTTAGTGGCCTTCCGCGCGCCCCCGGTGACTTCCTCGGCGGCCATGGGGGTCGCTCCGCTCCGCTTCTCCGCCCGGCAGTCCCCGGCCGCCTTCTTTCTTCCCTGGTTCCTCCTCTGCCGTTTCTCCCCCTCGCTCCAGCCGAGCCCTCGCTGGGCGCTCCGCTCGCACTTCTAACAGCGCCGCCGGCCGAGCTGGGAAGGGGCCCCGGCAGGGCGGGCGCGACGGCCCACGNGGGGGGTCGTGCTTGCAGCCTTTGGGTAAGGCTCCAAAATGGGGTGGGTGGGTTCGGGAGCCGGCGTGGCGCAAGCAGAGGCCCTGGAGCTTCTCTAAGGACCGTCTCCTTTCCACCAGCAGAGGGAAAGGAAATGGAGCCCGGCTGCAGCCCAGGGATGCCTGGGGAAACGGGGCCCACCTTGCCAGAGACGGGATCGCCTGAGGCCGCAGATCTCAGCCCAGAAGCCGAACGGATGGCAAGGAGGAATCTCACCCGCTTGCCCTGAGGTCCAGGGGTCTCCGGAAGCCATTTTGGAAATGCAAAGTCCCCCCCCCCCTGCGGCAGCCATTTTGTCAGACACAAATTGGCCCAAAGCCCCCCAAAGCCCCCCCCCTCCCACGTGGGGCCTCTCTAACGCAGGGCTGAAGGGGGAGAGAGGAGGCCGTCCGACCCCGTGGGGCCAAAGAGTGGGCCACCGAGAAGCAACGGCGCCAGCCCTTTCCCTTCACCCAGCAAAGCCCAGAGACCCCTGGGAGCCTCTCCTGGGCCCCCTTCTCTTGGGAATCCGCCATTGCTCCCCCAAAGGCCTGGAGGGGGGCCACAGCAAGCAGAAAGGAGACAGAAAGGGGGCTAGAGAGGAGGAGGAGGAGGAGGAGGAGGAGTGGAGATGGGGTGGCAGGAAGGGCCCCCAGCTGAGCTGGGCAAAGGCGCCGGGCACCCTGGTGCGGCTTCCCTGGGCACGCCCGTTTAAAAAGCCTGGAGGGAGACAGGAAGGGCGGAGGTGGACTCCCCTGAAGAGGCGTCTGCCGGGCAGCTGCAAAAGGCCGGCAGAGGCAGGACGGAGGCAGAGACCCCCAAGAGAAGCCGGGCAGGAGCCCCCTGCTGCTTCCCAAGGAATCGGGATCCTCTGGGTGGGGGGATTTCCGCTTCCTGGCCCCGGACTGAAGCCCCCCCCCACTTTTGGAGAACAAAGGAAGCCCCTGCCGGTGGGACGAGGGTCCAGGCGCTACAGGGCAGGCCGCTCACTTGCTACACCCCCCCCCCCGGACGATCCTAGCGGAGGCCCTAGGGAGGAACGTTTGGGTTGAGCTGTGGCCGCCTAGCAGGTTTTCTAGCATTCTCATTTACATTATCAAAGTAGGCGACCTCATCCGTGCCGGGACTGAGGATGCTCCCTGCGTGAAGAGCACCGAGGACCCCACGGAGCCCTTCGGATCCTTTCGGAAAGCAATTCCCCCAAACCCTCCGGCATGAATTAGGCGAGAACCGCTAGACGCACAAAAGGCTTTTGTTTCAGCCAAGCCTTTGACCACACACACCCACGCACGCACACGCAGAGCGAGTGGGTTAACTGTGGGAAGGGAAGGGGATGGCAGCTCCATTCCTGGTTCCCACCAGACCGGCTCATCCACATTTTGATGAATGAGTGACGGGTCCGAAGGCTGGCAGGGAAACCGCAGGAGGAGACGCCTCCCCCCCAGATGTCCAGGGCCCAAAGCCACCGAGGGGCCCACGGGGGAGCTGGGCCTTCCCTTCGTGGGCTGGCAAGGCAGCCGGGCAAGCCCAGGGAAACGCGTGTGGAAATCAAGGAGTGGGAGTGGCCCACGGTGGCCTTTCCCTTCGACACGCATCTCCCTGGGGCCGGCTTGCTGCCCAGAGAGCCAACCTAAGAGGCCATCATTTCCTGAGGGTGAGGAGGACCCTTAATCAGTGGGACGGCTTCCCTCCGTCACTGGGGGCTTCTTAAGAGAAGAGACGGGGCAGCCGCTTGTCTGGAATGGGACGGGGGGGGGGGCTGTGAGCCTTGCGGCCTGCGGGCCGGATCCATCACGCACTGGCCGCTCCCAGTTGAGCGAAGGGGGGGGGGAAGTCCAATACGTTATGTGACGACTCCGTGACAAGGTGAGTTTGACACCCCTGGTACAGGGTGTCCTGCTTGAAGAGGGGCTGGAGTAGAAGACCTCCAGGGTCCCTTCTAGGCGTAATCCGATCCATCCATTCAACCTCCAAGGTCCCTTCTGACTCTGCTATTACTCTGTTACCCTGGGAGGAGGTGAGGGCAGGCGCCAAGGGCACCGCCAGGCCTGTCCCGGAGCATCTTTCCTCAGGCTGTCGGCAAGCCAGCTGTTTCCTTCCAAGGCTTTTCACGAAGTAGAGAGAAGAGCCAGGAGTAGAAGGGCCAAGAAAGGGCAATCAGGGGGGAAACGAAGCTCTGAGCTCTGCGTCCAGGGCCAAAGAAGCTGCCTTACTCCCGGGGAAATCTTTCTTTTCCCGAGTCTTCTGCATTTATCCCGTATTTGTCCGTCTCCACCGGATTCCTCGGCCCCTTAACACGCCCGGCTTTCCCTCCTGTGCGAAACGATGGGCAGAAACCTATTTTCAGCGCAACCGTTTTTGCTCTTTCCCAACAGGCCAGAAAATTGTCCGGTATCCCATGAGCCTCTGCGCCTATTAGCTCCCCTCCGTCCATCTCCCCTCCCCCCTCCCCCCCCGCCACACATCTCTCCACAACTCTTACAAATATTCTCCTTTGCGGATCATCTCACTGGGCTCTGATGCCCTGCGGAGGAGCCCTGCCTGCCCCCAAGGCACACACGTTCGGCCCCACACTGTCCCTTCCTCAGCCCCGCTGCCCCCTCCCCCACGGAGCGGTCCTTAGGCCCCCTCCCCCCTCCCCAAGCGCATTAAAGGACCCGGGGCCCAAGTGGGTTCCTATCCTGAGCAGCCACGCCCACCTCCCCATCTGGGCCAAGGATTCTGGCGTTGAGGCTCCCCTGGGCCCCTCTGGGCTTTCAGATGCATGAATGTGAACCGACTGTCTCGCTCTCGGGTGGGGAGCGAGAATCTCTTCATACGGGGCCCCACTTCCACTCTCTGCTTGGACTTCAACAGGCACACCTACTGGCTGAGGAAGCCCTTGGCTCAGGGAGGGGAGGGGAGGCAACTGGGCCGCCCCCAGCTCTGAAAACCCCAGGGCAGCGTTTGGAAGGGGAATGGAAATGGGGCAGGAGGCATCCAGGACGGAAACATAACTCTGAATTATCTCCATGGAGCTGCACTTCAGGAGAAGGAAGGGAGGGAGGGAGGGAGAGAGAGAGAGAGGGAAAGAAAGAAAGAGAAGAAAAGAAGGGATGAAGTGGAAAACAGGAAAACGGTCTGGTGGAGGAATAGGAGTTGGCGTTCCTCGGATGCCTGAAGACGGCCACTCCGAAGCGGAGAAGGGGACCCATTTCTCTTCTTGCCTTTGTCCATCAGGGGGCTTATAGTGCCCCCCACACCAAAAAGGATTCTGGCTGCCATGCAACCGACCCATGAAGTGGAAAACACGGAAGGGAAACAGCGCGGTTCCCCTCGACTGAAAGAGCATTCCCCAACAAGACTCGGGGGGTTTAACCGAAGAGGCCAGGAACGGCCCCCAAGAGGCCGAAATGACTAGGCCTCAGGCCCTGCCGGGGGCAGAATCGGCCCCTCAAAGCCAACTGGAACCCAGTGCGGATTGTGTGGCAGTGACGACACAAGAGCGTCACGAGAATCCCCTGAGTCCGCCCAGAAGAGCCCCACCCCCACCTGGTCAGTGGCACGGAGCACGTGGCACGACAAAACTGCGCTCGTCAAAATCGCGGCGCTAAAGCCGCGACGTCATCACCGCGCGTCATCACCGCCGCGACAACAGCGCGGCAACAGAAGGCCGCTTTAAAACGGCGCCGCGGCAGAAAGCCGACTTCATTTAAGGTAAGCGTTAGGATTAGATTTAGGTGTTAGGTGTTAGGTTTAGGTTTAGGTTTAGGGTTAGGGTTAGGTTAAGGGTTAGGGTTAGGTTTAGGGTTAGGTTTAGGGTTAGGTTTAGG